ACACACACACACACACACACTGACGTTGGTAGCCGATGTTGGTGTCGTCGATGGGCTCGGCAGACTGCGCAACCACGTCGCCCTCAAAGTACTCGCTGTCGTACGCGCTGTAGTCGAGATGATATCCAGATGAGTCGTGCTGCTGCTCCAACTGCCCATCACCTTCATCGTGGCCGTTGCACTGGCCATCATCGTCACCGCCATCGCCTGCGTTTGCATCATAGTCGTCACCGTAGCCGTAATCACCGTCGTCATCATAGTACTCGCCGCTCTCGTCGTCGTTCTCGCCCCCGCCGCCATAACCATCGTAGCCATCGCCATCATAGCCGTGGCCATAGTGGTCACCATACTCTTCTTCACCATGTTCATCGTCGTACTGCCCTCCTTCGTACTGCCCTTCTTCATAATACTCTTCCTCATTCTGCTCTTCGTTCACATCACCACCACCATCATCATCACCACCATCACCACCAGCCTGCTGCTCGCTCTCGTCATGCCCACCCTGGTGCCACCCGCCAGCCCCGGCCGTTGTCAGGCCGCCAAACACAAACCCTCGCGAGCGCGTGTTGCGCGGAAACGCCCACTCCGCCCCCGACGCAACCCCAATCCGCGCCGCCGCGTGCTGCCTCGTGTGCACACCCTGATCACCCTCACCCTCGCCCCCACCCTCACCATCACCGTTTGCACCCTCACCATTTGCAGCGGCAGTCAGTAGCGGCTGTGGGTCGCTCGGGTCGCGCGCACACCCGAGCGCGTCGTACAGCTCGAGGTCGCCGTGCGGGTCGCAGTACGCGCGCGCATACACGCGACGGGCGCGGGGGAACGCAATGCGAGCGTCGCGAAGAAAGTACGCAAGCTGTGACCGCAGCGTGCGCAGTTTCTGGTACTGCTTGGGGCTCCCATGTACGCGCTTCACCTGCACAACAAGCACGTCAAACGCCGCATACGAAGCGTTTTCGTGTTGCCGCTTGCAGCTTTGTTGGCGAGGAGATGCGTTGTTCTTCTGTTGCTTCTTCTTCGGTGTGTTGTGCTGTTGCTGTTGCTGTTGCTGTTGCTGTTGCTGTTGCTGTTGCTGTTGCTGTTGCTGAAGTGAACTGTCAGTGCAGTTGTGATCGCGACCGCCGTCGTTGCTGCTGCTACCGTTCCTGCTCGTGTTCTCGCTTGCCATATGGCCTGAACTAGTACCGCTTACTCCACCAGCATCACCAGCATCAATGTGTCTGTCGTCAACGACTCCTGCTCCTCTGTCACCAGCATCAATGTCTCTGCCATCACCAGCGCCACCGTGTTCCTCCATGCAGGCCACTGACTCCCTGGTTCCGGTTGCCTCCGTCTTGTCCGCTGGTGTGCTGTTGATGCCGGCCCTGCAGACGGGGCGAATCAGCACCACGTCGCCCTTGCCGTACCCGCGCAGCTGCTGCACGCCCACGTAGTCGCGTGTCCACATCCTCCACCCACACGTGACAAAGTGCGTCACAACCTTGCGCACGAGCCAGTCGTGTGGCTGCAGGTCCCACGTCTTGCCGCGCAAATACGTGTACAGCACCTCGTGCCGATGCAGCAGGGTCGCCACCGTCTTGCACACATCAGCCGCCACGTCGCTGTTCCCTGCCTTTGCAGTGCTGTCGGCCGCAGTGGTGGCAGTGGTGGCTGTGGGAGGTCCGTCAAGAGGGGCTTCCGTGCTCACTTCCGGTGGGGTATGCACGCGCTCCCGGTGAGCTGTGTTGGTGCTGTGCTCGAGTGACTGGACGTCTTCTTTGTCTTGCTTGTCTTCTGTGTCTTGCTTGTCTTGCTTGTCTTGCTTGTCGTGCTGGTCTTGCTTGGGGTCTTCACCCTGTTGCTTCCGTTGTTGTTGCTGTTGCCTGTGCTGTTGCTGGTGTGTGTCGACTGCAGCGCCCCACTTACCCCATCCACTACTGGTTCCAACAGCTGCCACGTGCGACACGTCTGGCGCTGGTGCATGTACACCCCACGCGGCCGTGGCGCTGCCTGTCGAGGCTGGTTTCGCTGCCGACGCTGCACTGTTCGCGGGTGCGGTGGCAGCTGCTTTGGTGGTCGTTACCGCGCCGCTGCTACCCGTGCCTGCCCGTGCGTCCGTCCATGCCAGGTGCACGGGATACACCACTCGCGAGCGCTTGGTGGCGGGCCGGCCATCTTCGCTTGCTCGCACCGTCTCTGCTGATGACGCAGATGTTGACGGCGTGGAACGCGCCGTTGCCGTCGACTCGCCCCAGTTGTTTGCATATGTGCACGGCGCGTCCTTGATGGTGCCCATATCCACCTCGCACTTCTGCCACGCACGCTGCTCCCTGATCAAGAACAATACAGCGATGGACGCAACCAAAACACGAACCATGCATGTGGAAAAGAGAGTTGCGTTCAATACATGCGGGCACGTGCACTTCACGACACTCAGAGCAGCAGCAAGATAAGCGGTGAGCCTGTGCCAATACATGGCCTCTCATGCCCTCTCGTGGCCTCGTAACGAACACGCATGCAGTGTCGACAAGCGTGGACGCGAGCCTCCACAGAACTCACTGTTCTTCACGGCGAAGCCCAACGTAGATGGACGCCTCCTCCACCACCTGTCGATGAGTTAGGACGCGCAAGGCAGCGCCGTCGTGCTAGCACAGGTGGAGATGCGGGAGCAATGTGATTTTGAAATGAGGTCTTTGTCGAAAGGAAAACTTGGCAAGGCGAACAAGGGTGCCAAACTCGGCTCACCAAACAGCGTAGGGGCTGCACACTTGCTCACCGCAAAGCTAGAGGATGCAGCCTGTTCAGCGGCCTCGCGGGAGCTGAACTGAAGCAAGCACAACCCTAGGGTAAGGCAGGAGGGAGAGAACGTAGGAAAACGGAATGGAAGACGTGGCAAAAGGCCAGCGCGAGGACATGAGAATGCGGGAGGGGGGGCAGCAAGAAGAAGGTGTGGAAGGAATTCGTGAACACCCGCGCACGGAAGCGACTGACCTTTGTTGGCGTAGAAGCGAAAGGACCGCCCACGCCACACCACAAAGATGCGCGCCCCCTTGACGCCAGCGTTCTTCAGCGTGGCCTGTGTGTGTGTGTGTGTGTGTGTGTGTGTGTGTGTGTGTGTGTGTGTGTGTGTGTGTGTGTGTGTGTGTGTGTGTGTGTGTGAGGGGGGGGGGGTTGTGTTGCGGCGTGTTGTGTTGGGTGGGCATACATTGTGTTTGCACAGAAAGGAAAGCACAGGAAGTGAGTACAGAGAGGAAGCGCCGGCGCGACAAGTGAGCAAGAAAGCACAGAGGTCACGAAGCAGACATAGACACACACGCATGCTCGCACACGCGCACGCACTCGCACTCACATTGATGGTGGAGAGGCGCGGCTGGGGTTCCATGAACCCCGTGAGGATGAGCGAGCGCTCATCCAACTCGGGTCCACAGCCACCACCACCACTGCTCGACATATCGTGACAGCAGCGTTCACCAGCGACCACCTGCGCCGAAAATCGACGGAAAATGTCCGCCAATCGCCAACAACCGCAATGGTGGTGAAACCAATGTGCGTGTACTTCCTCCTCCCTCTATCCCTGCTCGTCATCCTCTCGTCCCGTGTGATGCCTTGCTGCCATGCCTTTAATGTTTCACTTCGCTTAAGAATGCACCACCTCTCAGCAATTAAGAGAAAGAACCCTCCGCTACACACAGACACACACACACAGACACACACACGCGCACACAAACACATCACGCACTCATGCACACACAAATATGCACGCACGCACACGCAACTCATACGTCCAGCAAATCAAAACATCACGACGATAAGAACGCATGACAAACGTACACAAAGCAGAGATGCAACCCTTTAACCCTTCCAACAGGCTGTCAACCGCAAAAGGCTGAGAGCTGGCGCTTGGCGTCAGCTGCTGTTGGGCGCTGGTGAGGGTCTTGCTGCCAGAACTCGCGAATGCACGCACGTAGCTCCTCCGGGGTATCCTCGAAAGGCAGCCGCTGCCCGCCCAAGACGTACTTCTTGATGGTGACGGCCGACTTGCCAAAGTAGGGCTCCTCCTCCTCATACAGCTCCCAGAGCACAACGGAAAAGGAGTAGATGTCGCACGCGCACCAGGCCGCCAGGTCGTCGTCGGTCACCTCCTCAGCAAACACCTCCGGCGCAGCGTTGCTCGGGGTTCCCACGAAGATTGCACCGCCCTGCACGGACGTTGTTGTGGAGTGGACTTGATTCTTGAGCTGGACAAACCCAAAGTCGCACAGCTTCACGGAAACTGACTGCGGGTCCTTGTTGAAGCGCTGCACGAGGAAGTTTCGGGACTTGAGGTCGCGATGAGCAATGTCGTTGCCGTGCAGGAATGCGATGGCGGAGATCATCTGCATGGTTGCCACGTTCTTGTGCTGCACCGTCAGGCTCTCCCCATCCTCGACGCCGTGCAGCTGGTCCCACAGGCTGCCACCGGACATGAACTCCATGACGATGCCCATGCGGCTGCGGTCGCGTTCCACATAGCCAAACACGCCGATGATGTTGGGGTGCTTGAGCCTGTTCAGCGTGGCAAACTCGCGAACAAAAGCCTTCTTTCGCGTCTTGCCTTCCACAGACAACACCTTCACTGCGACGGGCGTGCTGTCGTACGTGCCGGCATACACTTCACCAAACGCGCCCGTACCAATCGGCTTGTCCCGCAATGTCACGCGGTCAGCAGGGATCTGCGCTTGCCCTGCTTGGTGCTCAAGGTCGTCCGCAGACCTGCGCGAGAGCGAGGCAGGCAGGGGCGGTGCTGTTGTTGTTGCTTCTGTCGTAGTTGTTGCTGTGGTCTGCGATGACAAGGTGGAGTCTTCCATCTCCTGGGCAAACTGCTGACGCTCCAGGGTTTGGCGTTGATACTCGTCGGCCCACTGGTCGCAGGTGTCGAACTGCGGTGGAGTCCTGGGCCGCAGGTCTTCGTCGCGCTCCCCGCGCTGTGCTCGCTTGAGTGCGTGGTAGAGGGCCAGCCGATCTGGCAGGGGCATGTCACTGCCCTTCATCTCCTTCTGGAACTCGTTCCACGAGTTGACCTTGCGAGGTTTCGAGGAGGGTGGCTTGAGGCCCGCAACTGCCGCCGACAGCCCCGTTGACGATGCTGCCTGCTCCTGTGCCCTTTCCTTGCGATACATCACGGACAGCTCGGTTACACTGTGTCCGTCGCCCTTGTGGGCGGCAAGGAATCTGTGCCAGGGGTTCTTGGTAGGCGTGCTGCTGGAAGCCGGGGAGGTGGTGGATTGCTGCAAACGAGCCGCGCTCGAGGATGCCGCCTTCTCCGCCTGGTACATTGAGGACATCTGTGCCGGGCTGAGGTGATGGCCCTTGTGCGCCGCGCGAAACTCGTGCCATGCGTTGCCACTGGAGGGGGTGGATGAAGTGGACGGAGTTGACGGAGTGGATGGCGCTTTGTACGAGCCGCTCGCTGGCACCGAGGATGAGGAGGATGCCGCCTTCTCCGCCTGGTACATTGAGGACATCTGTGCCGGGCTGAGGTGATGGCCCTTGTGCGCAGACCGAAACGCGTTCCACGCGTTGCCACTGGAAGGAGTGGATGGCGCACCATACGAGAAGCTGGGCGCGGAGTAGCTCGCGGGCGGTGGGGCTGACGCCTTTTGCGCCTGGTACATTGAGGACATCTGCGCCGCGCTCAGGCCTTGGCCCTTGTGCGCAGAGCGAAACTCGTTCCAGTTCCTTGGCATGGTTGAGGTGAGGTGGGTGGGAGCGTGGGTGGTGTGGTTCTGTGGTTTGTGTGTTTGTGGTTTGGTGGTTGATGAAATCTGTGAAATGCACTATTTCGTTCATTTCCCGTGCAGTGTGCGCTTTCCTTTTCTGCAAGTTGTTTCAGCTGACCAGCTTGCCTCAACTCAAGATGTGCTTGTCTGCCTGTTGTCGTTCATGGGGTTCGTTGATTGATGCTGTTGGTGCATGCTCATTGGCGTTCGTGGAGACTTTTGTCAGAGTGGCACAAACAAGAAAGACCCAACCCTCGGAGGCCGGCCGCAGCGCCACCGATACGGTCGACGGGGAAGGGCCGGGCGGCAGACGCGCCGTCTCGCAGCCGGCGGCAGCGACGTTAGCACCCACCCACTAGTTCGATAGTGGGTACCCCTCCAGCCGGCCCTAGGGTCGCGACGTGTGACCCACCTATTAATACGAATGCTTCCCCCCACTTCGAAGCGGACTCGGGTCGTGTGCACGTGTGATTTAATTCGTTTTGTTTGCGTATCGCGCAACGGTGCCGTGGGCTCTGCCGCCGTCTTGTGCTCTTGTGCTTTCAGTGCTTTCTTCTACTTATGCTTTCTGCCTTCTCCAACTGATCTGGCAACCACGACGTGTCGCTTGCGGGCAACCCCACCACCGGGGCAAGCGACACCATTAAAGTTTACAACAATAAAAAAAAAAAAAAAAAAGAACAAGGGAACTCAAGATGACACTGAGAGGAGACGAGGGGTGTTAGATTCGTGTGTTTTGTTATTCCTTGTGTTCATTGGTGGAAGGGAGTAAACTCAAGAAGAAGACAAAGAGGAGGAGGTAGCGATAGCGGACTGTCGTCAACATCACGTGGTTGCCATCATAAACGAACAGCTGACTAGACAGGAATGAGCAAGAGCAAAGTACTCGGGACTAGTATTAGGACAGTGCAGGGCACGACAGCACATGTTGTCCATGTCACCCGCACGTCCCCAACACACCCCCTCAAACGCCATACACAGAGACATGCGCTCGAGACAGAGAAGGCAGCAGGCACAACATGTTCACACAGGCACAACCGCCAGCACTTGGTCACGGCAGAGAACAAGTGCGGGCCGTGGCAGCGGTTTGGTAAGCATGTCAGCCAAGAGGGTGCGCCCTGGTTCATAGGTAAGCTCAATGACATTGTCCTCAACCAGCTCCCGGACAATGTGAAACCTCAGGCGTATGTGCTTGGTCCTGAGCTTCGTCACGCGGTTGGTGGCGATTGCTATGGCTGGTTGGTTGTCAGTCACAATTGTCGTAGGAGGCAGAGTGTAGCCAAGCTCATTGAGGAACTGCCTTAGGTATACAGCACTGTGAGAGGCTCTCGCAATTGAGACGTACTCAGTCTCTGCTGTGGACGCTGTAGCCAACGACAAACGGCGTGACGACCACGAAATGGGCCCGCCAACCAAAGTAAACAGATGCCCGGCGTGGCCTCGGGACGTTGTTGTATCTGTCAAGTGGCTGGCGTCGGAGAAACCCCGCAGTTGTAGAGTCGGTGCCGACGTTGCAGAGTATGTGATGCCAAGACCAGAGGTGCCTCGGAGATACTTCATCACATGTTTCGCAGCATGTTGATGTATGGCGGTTGGTTGTCGCACAGCTCGGGCCAAGGCCGTAGCGGCGTACGCGACGTCTGGCCTTGTGCAACCCGCCAGGTAGAGCAAACTGCCAACGATGTGCTGGAACTGCTTAACATCCACTGTCTCGGCTGCTGTGGTTGCATCGAGCTTGAAGTTGGTGGGGAGAGTGGTGTCCTTCGGTCTGCATGTCTGAAGTCCATGCTGTTGCAGGAGGTGGTGTACGTAGTGCTGTTGTGTAAGGGTCATGGTCCCCGCATCCCGGTCGTAGTTGATGTTGATGTTCAGGTACTGCTTAGCAGGGCCTAGGTGCTTCAGGTGGTAGTGCGCGCTCAGTGAGGCTGCCACGTGACGGACACGGTCAATGGTGCCGGCTGCGATCAGAAAGTCGTCGACGTGGACGCAGAGCATGCAATCCTCGCCTACGAAGACACAGGCATCCGATGCCAGGCGACGAAGGCCACTCTCCTTGATGGTCTGCCAGATCGAGTTGTACCACAAACGAGGGGCCTGACGAAGTCCATAAAGACTCTTCTTGAGTCTCAGCAGCGAACCGTCTGGTAGGTTCGCCGCGGACGGCGGACGCACATACACCCCCTGGACATCAATCTGCGCGTGCAAGAAGGCGGAAGTAACGTCGTACTGGTGGAGGTGCCACCTCTTGAAGGTGGTCACGGCGAGGAAAGTCCTGACGGCGTCGATCCTCGTGGTTGGCGCGAACACGTCGTCAAACGTGCCGACATCCTGGCGGTTGCCGCAGCAGACCAGGCGCACCTTGCGTTTGGTCGTACCATCCACGAGCTGCTTACTTGTCAGGACAAGTTTGCTCGGAATGGGCTGGGTAGGGATGGATAGTTGTCGGCTGTCCACCACGTCAAACGCTCCAAACTGCAACATCTTACCCCACTCCTCCTCAAAGGCGTCAAGCCAACGCTGCCTATCACGACCCTTCATCGCCATCTGCCACGTTCTCGGCGGGTCGTTGGCTGTGGTCGCAGTCAAGCATAGCTTCTCGACAGGTGTACGGATACGTCCGGACCTTCGAAGCTGTTGAGGCTGTTGTTGGGCGTGCTGTTGATGCTGCTGTTGCGGTTCGTGTTGCTGGGGCTGCAGGCATATCTCTCGTTCAGCAAGAACTGTCGGGACCAGGTCAGCCGTCGTCTGATCGTGTCCTTGCAGTTGCTGTCGTTGTTGCCCATCGGGCTGCTGCTGGTGGCCGTGGGCCTGCAGTGCGCCAGTAGGCTGCTGCTGGTGGCCGTGGGCCTGCAGTGCGCCAGTAGGCTGCTGCTGGTGGCCGTGGGCCTGCAGTGCGCCAGTAGGCTGCTGCTGGTGGCCGTGGGCCTGCAGTGCGCCAGTAGGCTGCTGCTGGTGGCCGTGGGCCTGCAGTGCGCCAGTAGGCTGCTGCTGGTGGCCGTGGGCCTGCAGTGGGCTACCGGCCTCTGAGCCCGTAATCAGCCCGGTCCGTAGTCCAAATCGCACTTACTGAGTCCAACCTTGCGAACTCCAAGACCTCAAGTCGATGACGGACACCTTGAGTTAATCTGAGTGCTTGTGACCTTACGGAGAGGTGCAAAGCCTTGTACGAACACACAACGTATCTGACGGGGGTGACAAATGAGCATCAAGCCAACTCGTAGTCGCTAACAACTGTTGGGTCCTAGTTCTTGACCCACTAAACCATAATACTAGTAATTGGCCGATCACTGGTCCTATGTTGTTCTAGACAAACAACGCGGCCTGCAGTGCGCCACGTAGGCTGCTGCTGGTGGCCGTGGGCCTGCAGTGCGCCAGTAGGCTGCTGCTGGTGGCCGTGGGCCTGCAGTGCGCCAGTAGGCTGCTGCTGGTGGTCGTGGGCCTGCAGTGCGCCAGTAGGCTGCTGCTGGTGGCCGTGGGCCTGCAGTGCGCCAGTAGGCTGCTGCTGGTGGCCGTGGACCTGCAGTGCGCCAGTAGGCTGCTGCTGGTGGCACTCCACAAAGTCGACATTGATGCCAGATCTCGTGCGCTGAGTGCCGCTGACGAATATCTTGTGACCGTTGCAGCGCGGATCATAGCCAATGTAGTGGCCAGCCGCACCTCTCGCCGGAAGTGCACCTTTGTCAGACTTCACATCATCGTAGATGACGCACGGGCACCCAAATACCCTCAGGCTCGACAGTGGTGGAGGTCGGCCTGTGAGCGCCGTGTAGGGAGGAGAGCCAAGTGACGTGTGGACAACGTAGTTGTAGACGTTCGAGGCGTGCTGTATTGCTGCACACGTGAAGTCAGGTTGCTGTTGCGGTGGTATTGCTGATGCCGCTAACATGGAAGCTGCCATCTCCTTCACCGTCCTCCATGCCCTCTCGGCCATGCCGTTGTGCTGATGTGTGTAGGGCGGTGAAAATCTGACGGTCACACCCAGCTGTCGTGCTGTGGCCGCAAAGATAGACGACTTGAAGACAGGGTCAGCGTCCACTTGGAGAAGTGCACCACGGTCGATCGGAATGGCTGTCGTCGCTACCAGCTGCCGCAATGCTGTAGGGGCGTCTGACTTCTTGGAGATCACCATCGTGTCCGCATATCTCGTCTTCTCGTCGACAACAAACAGCACATACTTGTGGGTCTTTGCTGCGGACGGGAACGGCCCCTGGAGATCACCATGGAGCCTGCCTCCTGGTTCCGTGCTGTGATCGTCTGCAGCTTTCCGGACCGGCTTTCTCTGGATCTTGTATGGCATACACTGTGTGCATGGCTGAATTTGGTCACGGTGGTGCTGTTGGTAGCTGATGCCGTTGTCGTCGAGGAGCTTGGCAACGTCCGTCAGGCTTCTGTGACCGAGTCGACGATGCCACGTGTGAAGAGTCTGTACCGCCAGGCAAGCTTGGGCCTTGTGCAGTGGCTCGGCCTTGAGGTAGTAAGTGGTGCCATGCATATGGAGCTGGAGGCAGAGGTCGCGGTACTCCACACGTGGACTCTCTCCATTCAGCTTCACCGTCACCCCAGCATCCACCAGACGTCCTGCTGACAGGATATTAAATCCCATTGTCGGTAAGAACAACACGTCTCGCACGTTGATCACCTTCTCCTCACTACCCACTCGGACCTTCAACGACACCGTCCCCGTCTCGTGAACCTCGACCGTACCGCCCAAACCTCGCACGACGGCCGGTTGCTGAAGTATGACGCGATGTGTGAAGTAGGTTGGGTCCGAGAAGATGTGCACGGAAGACTGAGAGTCTAGTCCCACCAGGTGCTCAGAGAAGGGGAGCTGTTGAGGTGTTCTCAGGATCTTGAAGGTGAAGTCTGGCTTGTGTTGCTGATGCGGCGGACGCGGCTGGTTATTGCGGCTGCCTCCAGACTGGTGCTTGAACCCCGATTGCATGCTCCTGTTGGGGTTGTGGTAGCAGTCCTCCTCACGATGGAAGCAGTACTTCCCGCAGTGCGGGCACCTGCTCTTCTTCCTCTTAAGCTGCCTGTCGGAACGCGTCCTCTCGGGGCGTCGCGGTCTGGCAATCTTGAGCATTTGCTCCGTGCCGCTGTGATCGCTGACCGTATCCTCTAAGGCTGGGTTGCTGCTGAGGATCAGGTCTACGAACTGGTGGACGGTTGAAGTAGGCGACTTGATTTCATTACCGAACTGCTTCGGTTTGCTGTCGTGGAACAGGGAGAAGATGAACAGGGAGAATATCTCCTCCAGCGTCCTGCTCTCCCGCATATCGTACGCAGTACTGAGCTTGTCGATCGCCTGGTAGATTCTGGTGGCATACTCGTCAGCAGTATCGTCGGGCCTGACACGAACGCTGTTGATGCAGTTGATGATGTGACGGCTCTTCTTGACATCATCCTCAGGTCGGTTGTAATACTTGATCAAGACTTGCCAGGCTGTTCTCGCGTCTGGCTGGGCAAGAGCTCCTTTTGCTGCTGTGGAGTTGCAACCCCTGAGGGCCTGCATGATGCTGACATGTGCTCGTTCCTCTTGGTCTTGCGTGACTTCCTTTCCTTCGAGTACTCCTTCCGCTCCTGGGCATGTCTGCTTGAGATACAGCTTGAAGTGAGCCGTGAAATCCTTGAGGGACTCTGCCTTGCCATCGAACTTGGGGACTTGCAGGCCTTCCATTGTCTCAGTTGTGTCGTGGGATCAGATCTTGGCAAGAGATACGAGTGGAGAGTTGGTAAATGTGCAATGCGCAGCTCGTGAGTAATTGAGAGTAACACGGATATTGTGTCGAACAACTGGGTCTCATAATCTGTTAGATTCGTGTGTTTTGTTATTCCTTGTGTTCATTGGTGGAAGGGAGTAAACTCAAGAAGAAGACAAAGAGGAGGAGGTAGCGATAGCGGACTGTCGTCAACATCACGTGGTTGCCATCATAAACGAACAGCTGACTAGACAGGAATGAGCAAGAGCAAAGTACTCGGGACTAGTATTAGGACAGTGCAGGGCACGACAGCACATGTTGTCCATGTCACCCGCACGTCCCCAACAAGGGGTCTAGGGGTAGATGCGGATGTGTGTCGACCGATACAATCACCAGACAATGAGTGCACGGGTCCGCAAGTGAGAAACTCAGTCCGATGGGAAACGATGTGGCGGCAAACAAGCAAGGCGCGAAGAGGAAAGGGGGGGGGGAGGACGGAATGGGAAAGAAGAATGAACAGGGAGCGGGCTCCACAAGACGCGAAGGAGGGAGACAAAGGCGAAGAGGCAAAACAGAGTAGCGACACGCTGCTCATGAACAAGTAACAACAGAGATCTAGAGAGATGCACCAACAACAAGGCGCCTTCCCTCCTTCCACACACACACACACACACACACACAATACACACACAATACACACACAGCACACACACACACACACACACACACACACAATACACACACCACCACCAACACCCCCCCCCCCCACAATCCTACACTCACTCCCCCCTCTCCCCGCCACGACCGCACGTGCACATGTGCTGTGCACAGCGATAGATGCACACAAAGGGAAAGGCAACGAGAATGCATGGGCTGCACAACACCAGCGTTGCACAGTCGTGGCTGGACATGGCGCCTCCACTGCGCACCTGTTGCAGGCTGTACGCGGCTTGGCGCGTGTTTGGATGGTCTGGCCCGAGGGTGGCCGTAAACACTTCCAGGGCGTGCTCGATGTGTGCGCACGCCTGTTCTCGATCACCACTGTCACTGTAGGCTATGCCCAGGTTCATGGAAACGGCCGCAGTGGCTGGGCTGCTGCTTCCCAGCGTCGCTGTGAAAACCTCTTTCGCCTTCTCCAAATGTGCAATCGCCTTGTCGTACTCCCCCTTCTCTCGGTACGCGCTGCCCAGGCTTCCGTAGACGCTTGCTGTGTCCGGATGACTTTCCCCCCGCGTCTCCACGTACGCCTCCTTCGCCATCTTGTAGCACTCAATGGCCCTGGCGTACTCGCCGATGCTGTCGTATGCGTTGCCCAGGTGCTTGCAGGTGTCAGCTGTGCGCGAATGCCTCTCCCCCACCGTCCTTAGCCAAATCTCCTTCGCCTTTTCAAAGTGTGCAATCGCCATGCTGGAGTCGCCGCTGCTATCGTATGCGTGGCCCAGGTTCATGTACGTGGCTGCGGTGCTCGGGTGCTCGTCGCCCAGCGTCTGAACGAAGATCTGCCTTGCCTTCTCCAAGCTCGCAATCGCCTTGTCGTACTCCCCCTTGTTCTTGAACGCCAGGCCGAGGTTCACGTACGTGTTTGCGGTGTCAGGGTGCTCTTCCCCCAGCGTGCGCACGTAGATCGCGTTGGCCTTCTCGCCATATGCAATCGCCTTGTCGTGGTCGCCCTTGTCATTGTACGTGACACCAAGGTTCACAAACACGTCTGCCGTGTCAGGGTGGTCCTCCCCCTTCTGCTTCACCATGGCGGCGAGGTGTTTCTCGGCGCATGCAATCGCCTTGTCATAGTCGCCCATGTCTCCGTATGCATTGGCCAGGTTGCCGTACGTCTGTGCCGTGTTCAGATCCTCTTCCCCCAGCGTCTGTACGAATATCACAATCGCCTTTTCATAACACGCAATCGCCTTGCCCTGCTCGCCTTTCCTGCGATACGCGTTGCCCAAGTTGCCGTACGTCTGTGCCATTTCGGGGCGCTCTTTCCCCGGTGCCTGCGCGTAAACCGCCTCTGCCTTCTCATAGAAGGCAATGGCCTGGTCAAGCTCGCCAAATGTGTTCAGCACAATGCCAACTTGGCTGCACAGCGCTGCAAAGGCGTCTGTGTTGCCCTCGCCCCGTGTCTGCATCGCCTCCACCGCAGCCACCGCCTTTTCCAGGCACCACTCGCGCAGCTGGTCCTTCACGGCCTGGTTGAGCGCTGCAAAGCCTACGCCGTTCTGAATGGCCTCAAAGATCATGTCCTTGTCGCGTGAGTTGAAGGCCTCGGCCCGCTGAGCCTGCACGCGCACAAGCGTATCCATGACGGCCTCGTAGTCGTCACGGATGGCCTGTTCCAGTGCCTTCTCCTCGGCCTTGGGTAGACGGATGTTGACCTCTGTGCCCTCGTTGCTGATGCCGCAGAAGATCTCCCACAGGCACCAGGCACGCGTCAGTGGCACGGGGTCACGCCACGGCATCAACACCAGCAGCACGCGTCCAATGTTGGCAATGGACTCCTTGAACGTCGTGCTCCACCTGTTGTGTGGTGGGGGGGGGGCGAGGGAGAGGTGGGGCGTGATGTGAGGGAGTGGGGGGGGGTGTGCAAGAAACGGGGAGGTATAGCACGCAGGCGCACACACAGTTGCACACACAGTTGCACACAGCTGCACATACACACAGACACACAACGCACACACACACACACGCAAAACGCACCACTCTTGTGGGAGGTTGGCCGTAACGTTGGCGTTTTGGTTGTTCATGAAGAGGTCAAACCAGAAGAACACTGGCTGGCCGCCATCCTTCCGTGCTTGCTCCTCTGCAAACTCGAGCAACACGTTGAGCACGTCTGCGATCTTGTACCGCCATGCGTGCGACACAAACACGGTGGCCTTGCCCACCCTTTCAGGCGATTGCTTGCGCAAGAGGTCGACGTAAGCGCAGTTGTCCTGCTGTGTGCGTGGCACAACGAACTGCTTGCAGGCATCCTCCGTTGTCATCTCAGTGTACGTGTTGGGGAACTCACTCTTCAGGTCTGCGAGGAAGGCCTTGATCGTCTCCACAGACACGCCGTCCGTCAGGCGGTGCTCGTCGTTGTCGGCCATGCTGAGTGGTGTGGGTGGGCTGGTGGGCGTGGGTGTGGGTGTGGGTGTGGGTTGTTGTTGGTGCTGTTGTGGAAATTTGTTTATGGCATTCGCGATTGTCGGTACCCAGTGCACACACACAACAAACGCAAAACGTTTCAGGTCAAAACAAACCACCATGCTGCTGCTGCTTGGCGACATGTTTCGCTGGGTGGTGTCGATCTTCGCTCCGGCTTGGAGAGCGAGGGAGGAGGTGGAGGAGCTGCTGACAGCTCCAGGTATCCTGGACGTGCACAAGAGCGGGATCAGGTTTATCGCAAACAACGCATGGAAGACCGAGATGGAGTGAGTTTGGGCATAATTTCTGCTTGTGTTTGTGTGTTGCATATATTCTTAGGTTGCATGTGTTTGTCTTGTTTGTTTGTTTGTCTGTTTGAATGTTGCATGTGTGCGCGTGGATGTGGATATGTTTGCTCGCATATCGCTGTGTGCGTTTTCTTGCTGTTGAGTGTGTTTGCTCGTTGCACATCTTGCGTGTGTATGACCTTGTGCGCGTGTGTGTTGACTGTTGATGACACACCTGCCCTTCTCAATACCTTTGTTTGAAGCCCTGCCTCTTGCCCTGCACGCACACATGCAGACATGCGTGGTTGCTTGCATGCACTGTAGTGTCGCAAGCTTCATATGTGGGCATCCCCTACACTGGGTACCGGAAATACCCTTTTGCACGGTTTTAGTGCAGTTGGTAAGACACCACACATCATGCACCGTCAACTCACCTCTTCACCTACTCACGGCTTCGGCCTTGCCTTACTTGCCATCTTGCAGATTCTTGGGCACTGACCTCGGTGACAGTTGGGCGTGCGCCATGGCCGAGGCATTGAAGTGGAACACACGCCTGAAACGACTCGAGTCAGTTTTGGTGCGGTGTGTCCCCTCATCCTACTCTGCTCGTTTGCTATGGTCACGCGTTCGCTGCTGTGGTTCGCTTGTGGTTCCCTCAAAACCAGTGCCACCTTCCAGCGCTGGGCAGCACTTCCAGCGCTACCTCACCATTGGGAGTGTTGTCTTTGCAGGATTCATCATGGCAGGATTAGCACTAACGGAGCTGAAGCGCTCGCTGCCGCACTCAAGCGCAACTCAAGCGTCACCACGCTCTGGTAAAGTGATCTTGTGCGCTGGGGAGGGGTGGGGGATGGGTTGAGTGAAGTAGCACAGCAATTTGTGGTATGCTGCACTTCACCTGACGCGCGTTCGGCTTTGCCGCTGACGATGCTTCCGTTCTTCTTTTCCTTGTTTTTGTGTCCTACCCTTATTACGCTTCTTCATACAGCCTCCACTGTAACGCCATTGGGCCAGATGGCGCAGTGGCATTTGCAGATATGTTTCGGCACAACACAAGCATCACGCACCTCAGGTAAGAAAGGGAGCAGGACGAAGGTGTGACGGGCATACAGCTCGATGGACAGACGCGTTTGGCGGTGAACCGTACCTTGTGTGGTGATCTGCATCTTGTGTGGCGACCTGTACCTTGTGTGGTGACCTGTACCTTGTGTGGCGACCTGTACCTTGTGTGGTGAGTTGTGTTCTCACTCAAGTAGTGTGTTATCTTGTCCTTGCCCCAACATCACTCGAGTAGCTTGGGTGACAATGCCATTGGTGATGACGGCGCCTTGGCTTTGGCAACGGTGCTCGGTCAGGGCAACAGCACTCTGCAAGGACTCTGGTGCGCCACAGCCATCAGTGACACTTGCGCAGTGTGCGCTTTCGGGTGTCGCATGACGTGTCACTGCATTCCAACTTTGTCTTACAACCCGCCGCGGCCGCATCTTCTCCGCATCAATGCCGCAGGATATGGAAGAACGGCCTCACCGACAAAGCCGCGATGGCGCTCGCGGGCATGTTGACGCGCAACCATACGCTGACGCAGCTTGGGTATGTGGGTTGGCGAAGCGGATATGATTCGCTCTGTGTGTGTGTGTGTGTGTGTGTGTGTGTGTGTGTGTGTGTGGTCATTGCTTGTAGTACAATTAGCACGCAGCTTGCTGCTGTCGGTTGTGCTGGTGCGTTCACGCACAGCATCATGCCAGTGCACGCGTGCATAAGAGTCCCAACGTGGTTCGTTTCATGGTGGCGTACATATTGTTTGAAGCTGGATCCCACGACAGTGCTCGTCGATGCAGATCCTCACTCTACTTCCTTTCTCCCTTTGTGCATTGGCATTTATCCACTCAGGGTGCAGGACAACTGCATCGGTCCTGAGGGCGGCGAGGCCCTGGGAACCGCACTGGGCAGCAACGACAGTCTTCAACTGCTTTGGTTCGTGGTAAGGTGTCAAGTGTTGTGCGCTGGCCCAGCCGATGCCAACCTGCTCACACGCATGTTGACGTGGTTGCTGGTCCCTTTGCACTCTTTGCACCATTAGGCTCCACAAGAACACCACTGCCACTGCTCACGCTTTTGGTGCTGCGCTACCGGCCGGTCGCAGGATTGACACGGGCGACTGGTGCGTACCACTGATGGTGTGTGTGTGTGTGTGTGTGTGTGTGTGTGCGTGTGCGTGTGTGTGTGTGATGAACCTTGAACAGCTGCTCTGGTGTGACTGAGGTGACAGCCGTTCACTGTGCTGTTTGGGCTGAAACAAGTGTCTCTTTTCAATGTTTGGCAGGTCAGAGGATGACACTGGAAAAGCAGCCTTCATGGAGGCACGCAGGATGCGCTGAGGTGGAGACTCGGGCACACTGTGCAACACGATGTGTGCGAGTACTGTCTTGTCAGAATGAATGACGGGGATCACATGCAGTGTGACAGGTGTACTTATTGTTTGATGTGAAGTCACACGTTACCCTATCACTGAGAACCGCCCTCGCCATCGTCCTGCCCGATTCTGTGTACTGTATGTACAATGTCCTGAAGGCTTCAAATCTCCGTACACATTGCCCTCGGATGTCGTGCTCGTGTCGTTGTACATATTTACCCAGGTACATGGGATTCGCGCAACAGGCTTCAGACTCAAAGACACTGACAAGAACCGTCCAGGTACAATGACAGCCACACACTTCAGCCTGAGATACTCCCAGAGGCGCAGCGACCTGCATGCTGCAACCGAGAGCAGCATAGGTCCGTGTGGTGTGAGCCGCGAATGGTGAGCAGGAGCAGGCTCAGAGTGTCAGAGTTCTTGCGCACATGTGCAGGTGTTTCAATTGCTGTGTTCACACCCTTGCAGCCGTTGTCTTAGGGCTGTGTTAATCAATAACAACGGACACTTTGGCGCTTGCTGCGTTGGCACTTGTGTATTCTTCTCACATTGAGTTTGTGGTTTCAGTCTCTCACAATGAACGCAAGATCCGTGCCATTGCGACTGAGTCATCGAGCACGTTCATGCAGAACACGTTGACACAGAATACGACTTGCTTCCAAAGTGCAGGGCGGTCAATCACACACACAGACACACACAGACACACACACACACACACACACAAACACACACACACACACACAAACACACACACACACACAAACACACAAACACACCCTCGCACCCTCACAACCTCTTCTTCATCCCCTTCCTGAGCACGGCCATCATTTCTTCTGGTGTTCGGTTCACCAGCACCACATCCGGCCACGACCACTGCTCGTCAAGACTGGTGCAGCCGCGCACCGCCAGGCAGCGAACCGACGTCAGCGCACTCAGGTCATCAAACGCACAACGACTCAGGACGAGGTAGTGGACGTTGCGGAAGCAGGAGGAGTCTATGACTCTGCAAAAGGAGAGTTGACACATGAACACGCGTTGAATGCGCTGAACATGCAGCGAATATTCCGGTATCTTGCGATGGGGATCGCTTGGGTTGTCACCTTCACCATCATCGCTTGCCATGATGAAGGCCTGCACCAGCCACAACCATTTGATTCCACTCACGTCAGCAGCACCCTTACAAGCCAGGAGCGACACGTGGTTGCATTCCCTGATCTTGCCATGAAGCGTCACGTCCAGCAAGTGAAGATGCCTCCGCCCACGCAGGGCATCCACGTCGCGCAGGCGATGGCTTGCGAGGGAAAGCAGCGGAACGTTGGCCAAGCATGTGCCAGAAGCGTGTTCGAAATGAACGGAGGGCCTAGCGCTGCGAGGAATTGTGCGGCTATTTGCAGACAGCTCCTTCACGCAAGGCGGCAGCACGGTCCCGGTCAGAGGGATGCAGACGTCGTCCAAGCACACATGCACGTTGTCTGGCACATGCAGCAGGCCGCCCAAGGGGTCACCGGCACTGGTGTGCAGCATGCGTGCGTTGCGAATCACCAGCTTGTCGACGCGGTGTGCCACGTCAGACAGGTCGACCTCTTCATAGCAGTCGAGGTCCATCACCCGCGCGTGCTCAAACTGTGGAATCTTTGGGTCGTAGCTGCGAATCGCGATCGTGTCGAGGTGTGGTGAAAGCACAAACTCCACATCCATGTTCCAGGAGTCTTGCGTCAGCCAGAAGTGGGTGGCGTTGGGAAGATGAACGCGAGCCGGCATCCCACACGTCAGCGTAATGCGCTTGGCGTTGAGCGTGTCAATCTCCAGTGGGGTTTGGTGCATATGAAGCTCCTCCACATCTGCAAGCACAGACTGGTTGTCCACGGTCGCACGGTCAAGCACCAGCGTGCTGATGCCAGCAAGCGGTGTCAGGTCCGCGTGTTGGCTTGTGATCCTCATGCTGTGCAAACCGGCCAACAGTGCAAAGCCGTTGCGTTCGATGCCGTGATGAAAATTGATGCCGCCGACGTTGGACACTTCGCCTTGGAGGGTGGTTTGCTCGGACGATATGCTGCGCCATCGGATGTGCCCAATGTCGCGAAAAGTCACGCTTTCCACCTTATGGCGCATGTACTGCAAGACAAGCGTGTTTGCGTTGCACACAGTCAGGGAGGCCAGCGGTGCTGTGGTTGTGACGTCCAATTTCTCTGCACGTGCACCACCCAACGCTGTGGAACGCAGCTCGTTGAAGCGGTCCACTTCTGCTTGGCTGTTGAACTCGACAGTGACATAGAACAGAGCGGGGTGTTGTTGTTGTTGTTGTTGTTGTTGTTGTTGTTGTTGTTGTTGTTGTTGTTGTTGTTGTTGTTGTTGTTGTTGTTGTTGTTGTTGTTGTTGTTGTTGTTGTTGTTGTTGTTGTTGTTGTTGTTGTTGTTGTTGTTGTTGTTGTTGCAGTTGTTGTTGTTGTTGTTGCTGCTGCTTCTCTTCCCGCTTCCTCTCCTCCTCCTCCTCCTCCTCCTCCGCGTCCTCCTGCGCCTCTGCGTCTTCCATCCTCCCTCCCTCCCCTCCCCTGTCGCTGCCCTGCACGTCCTGCGCCCACTGCAGCAGCCCATGCTTTGATGTTGCGTATGCATTTGAATGTGATGCGTCCGTGCTGAGCAAACTGCTGCCAAAAGTCGTCGGTCAAGGGCCGAATGCTTGTCAGCCGCACTTGCAAGAAGGGGAGGTCGCTGGCCCAGGTCACGCCGAGCCGAGAGTAGGCAAGGAAGCGGTTCTCCATCCACACTGTCATGCTGTCACTGTCGCCACAGCCGCCACTGTCCTCGCTGCTGCCCTCGTTGGTGGTGTCTTCAGGGGTTCTTCGCGCCAGCAGCGGTGGGAGGAGCGCGGCTTGGAAGGTGTCTAGCCAATCTGACCCGGTGGGGTAAGGGTCGTTCTCAAACCTCAGGTTGGAATATGCGGGCACGGATCCCTGCGCGCCAAAGTGGCTTGGGCGCTCCGCAGGCATGTACCTGGGCTTCTTGTCGCTGATGGCTTGTTCCAGCGCTTTCGCAAGGTACCATTTGGGTACGGCCCAGGGCAGATCATGGTACAGCTCGCGGCAGGTGAACATGAGGTTGAGAAAAGCGCGTGCCTTGCCGCAATCTGCCTCGTGCTTCACGTCAAACCCTTGGAGCGTGCCCGACGCATCGTCGCCGTCTGGCATCGACATGACGCGCGCAGCCACCAGCTTCCAGCACTCCATGTTGTGTGTGTGTGTGTGTGTGTGTGTGTGTGTGTGTGTGTGTGTGTGTGTGTGTGTGTGTGTGTGTGTGTGTGTGTGTGTGTGTGTGTGTGGTTGTTGGTTGACATGCGTTGCTTGGCTGACGAAAGTCTGTGAATGATGCGCACAATCTTCCGAACTTGAAGTGGCAAGTTTGTGTGTTGTGCTCGCTGGCTGGTTGGTTGGTTGCTTGGTGGCCACTGCACACGACGATGATGGGTGCGTGTTGATTTGATGATGATGATGATGGTGATGTTTGGAGTGCTGGCAGTGGTTCTGTTACCTCTGCTGTCACAGTGGCCATGTACACAAGTGTGTAGAGGTGGTGGTGGCGACACAGAAGGTGGGAGAAGGGCTGAGATAATGGGAATGATCCTGTGCGTGAATGTGTTTGTGTGTTTGCATGCGTTGGCGCTTTCGACCTCTCGACTCTCGACTGTTGCTCACACCGACCTGACCCACCCAATCGAACGACCATCATTCGACAGGGATAGAGAGAGAGCGGTAATGTTCCCAGTGTCGCATCGCTTCGTGGAAAGAGGTCACACCGCCTCTGTTGTTTGATCCATTGGACAGTAGTTTCCACATGAGATAGGAACCACCACCACATCAGCAGCACCATCAGCAGCAGCAGTGTGTGCTGATGAGCTTCCATGCAGCATCACAGGAGGCTGACCTGCAGGAGATGGCGTGGGCAAGGAGCTGTGTATGGATCCAGTGCTGATGTGGGTGGTGGTGGTGAGAGCTGGGACGGCATCCTCAAGGTTTGATTGGGCAAGAGACGAGGGAGTACGACAAGGACGAGGAACGGATGTCATTGGGCCACCATGAGCAGAAGGACAGCGTTTGAAGTTGCTGGACGGTGAGTGAGTGAGTGTGTGTGTGTGTGTGTGTGTGTGTGTGTGTGTGTGTGTGTGTGTGTGTGTTTGCGAGTGCGTGAATGAGTGTGCGTGTGAGGTGGTTACAGCTTGCAATCCGATAATCCCTTCCCACTCTCACTCTGAGCTTCAACGCGCACACTGACCACCCCACATCCCTCCCCCCCCATACACACGTTTCATAGATCTGCATGCGGGAGATCAAGCGGTGCCAGCAAGAATCGAGTGGCATCAGCTATGTGCTCATCCTTGGCAACAAGTATGGCTTCCGCCCTTTCCCAGCCAAGATCCCCGATAAGGAGTTCAAGCTGCTGAAGGAGGAGATGGCCAAACAAGCCAAGCAAACTGCGTCCACTCCAACCTCAGCCGCACTCAACAAGGCCATGGAGTACATGGACGAGTGGTTCGTCCTGAATGAGAACGTCGTGCCGCCGACCCGCGAGCTCAAGCCCGTGAAGAAGGAGCACTCTGATGCGTGGTGGTCCGACATCTTCCCCACGCTGCAGATGTGTCTGCGCCAGGCAGCAACGGGAGCGCCTGGGCTGTCTAACGAGCGACGTGCCCTGTACGTGCAGAGCGTGACGGCGGAGGAGATTGACAACGGCCTGTTCAAGGTGCAGCCGAAAGAGGCGCGCGACAAGGCGTGCTTCGTCTTTGACCGGCGCCTGGAGGGCATCGACGTTGCATCGGACCCAGACACGGCTAAGCTGTTCATCGACATGGCTGGTGGTGAGGTGGACGAGGAGGCGCAGCAGCAGCTGGAGCGATCGCGTGCGGAGGCGGTGCCGGCTGCCCTGTCACCATCTCGCATCAAGACCATGACCATCCCATGGGGACCAGGCATCGACCTCGCTCGCACCGACCACGCAGAGTACATGCGCACCTTTGCCGACGCCTTCTGCGACACGCTGGCCGCGAACATTGAGCGTGTTGCGCGCGAGCACGCGTTTGAGAGCGACGCGGTGGTGGAGGAGGCGGCGGCGCACGCCATGTTCGGCAACCTGCGGCGTTGTGGGTTCGTGTCTACAACAGCCACTCAGCAGACGGCAGATGCTGCCCTTGCATACGTGCAACAACGCATCACGATTGGCAAAGAGGTCGCAGCTCCGTTTGCCATCTGTGGCCCATCTGGCAGTGGCAAGACTTCACTCATGGCTCATATCGCAGGTGTGTTGTGTGCGTGTGCAGTTCGTTGTGCTTTGTAGCTTCATGCGTGCATGCGTGCATGTCTGCGAATGTCTCTTGTTGTGCTGGCCTTCATGCATGTCCTCATCGTGGGATGTGCTCTGCTTTCCTCTGTTTCATCACATGCTCACACACACACACACACACACACACACACGCACACACACATACACACACGCCATAGGTACCATGAAGGAAGCCCACCCAAATGCCGTTGTGGTGTCGCGGTTCCTGGGCACGTCGCGGGAGAGCGGCACTGCCCGCACCCTGATGGCCAACGTGTACCGCCATATCCACCGCGCAGTGAAAGGCAAGGAGCCAGCAGCATCGCCAGCAGCCGACTTTGAAAAGCTGACAGAACAGTTTCAGGCTGCCCTCAAGCTTGGCACTGCTCGCAAGCCGTTGGTGCTCGTGCTGGACTCGCTTGACCAGCTCTCAGACGAGGACCAGGGCCGCAACCTGGAATGGCTGCCGCTCGCATCGCTGCCGCCAAACTGCGCCATCGTCGTGTCCACTCTGCCGGATGTGGGCGGATGCTGGGAGGTGCTCAAGGCCACGCTGCCAGACACCAACCAGCAGCACGTGGCCAAGATCAGCAAAGACGACGCAGACGGCATCCTGAGCACGCCGATGCCAAGCGGTCCCTCACCCCTGCACAGCGCAGTGTTGTGCTGGGCGTCTACGAGTCCTGCCCGACACCGCTGTACCTCCGCATCTGCACGCAGTTCTTTGCGCTTCGCTGGAACCACACGGACGCAATTGCACCCGACTTCTTCCCCAAGACGGTGGAGGGCCTGATGGAGAAGGTGTTTGATGAGCTGGAGACGCGACACGGCAAGGAGACGGTGCGGGCGGCGCTCGGGTACCTCTCTGCCTCGCGCGGCGGACTCAGCGACAATGAGATGGAGGATCTGCTGTCCTGCAACGACACCGTCCTGGACGAGATCTACGAGTGGTGGGTGCCACCCGTCCGCCGCGTGCCCCCGCTGATCTGGGCACGCATCGTGTCTGACCTGGAGGGCGCGTTGGTGGAGCGTGGCGCTGAGGGCGGCGTTACTGTCCGTGCATGGTACCATCGCCAGCACCGCGAGGCAGCAGAGCGACGCTACCTCGGCCTCAACTCGCGCAGCGGTGCTGGAAATGACACGGGTGATGATAGCGACGGTAACGGTGATGGTGCTGGTGATGGCAGCACTGCCACGTCCTCGTCCACGACCACTACCACCGCAGCCTCCACTTCCACCACCACCACGGCCTTGACGGTGCAGCGGCACGGCGAGCTTGCAGACTACTTCAGCGGCAAGTGGGAGCACGGCCGCCACCTGCACGACAAGACGGACGACGCGAGTGCTCTGCGCGACCGCAAAGTGGCGTCCATGAAGACGGTGCTGGCTGGTCGGCTCGATGACCCGCGCTCCGGTGTTGTGGTCAACGCACGCAAGGTTGCCGTGCTGCCGTTCCACCTCATGCATGCGCAGCGGTGGGAGGAGTGCGCGACAACGCTGTGCGACCTCGAGTTCATCGAGGCCAAGGCAACAGCGGGGATGGTGCGGCAGCTGGTGGCAGACTTTGAAGACCTGCTGCGCAGTGGTGGTGGTTCTAGTGGTGGTCATGGTGGCGCACTGGAGAGCCTGCTCAAGAAACACAGCTTCGACATCTGGGCGCGATTTGTGGCTCGCAATGCCCTCATCTTCGAGCGTACGCCTGGCGCTGTGGTGGCGCGCGCCTCGCTGTATCCAGACGAGACAGCGGTGTTCAAGGCGGCAGAAACTCTGTTGTCCACGCCAGGCTGCCGCCTACCACGTGTTCGACAATACAACAAGCCACAAGAGCTTGACCCACTTGTGTGCGTGTGTTCCGCAAGGTGGTTTTCCGACGTTCGGGATGTCATCTTTACTCGAGATAGTCGTTGGGTGTGCGGGTGTGGCTCTCCTAGTGGAGCTGGAGATGTTCACGTGTGGGAAGCACGGACTGGCACTCCTGTGGCGAGGTTGCGTAAGCCCAATGACAACGCAAAGGCAGCGCGCATTGTTCAGCTGCCATCGGGCCTCATTGCAGTTGCCTGCACAGATGGAAAGGTGTATGTGCGGAAGCTGGCAACGCACGAGGTCACGCGCTGTGTGGAGGTGTTTGACCCTGAGTCGGAGGAGCTTTGCGTGTTGCGGATGACCGACGACGATGCCCTGGTGTGGATGATGACTGGTGACAAACCTCCAAAGCCAAAACATCCCCTACAACTGAGGAGAGATGGCGATGATGATGACGATGATGTGCCAGGCGTGACGCGCATCATGCTGTTCAGTGTTGACTTCAGTCATTGTGTGTGGAAGTGCACGATGCAAGACAAGCTGTGTTGTGGGCAGATCCGCAACAACACGCTGGTCGCAGGTACGAAGAGCGGCAGCGTCATCTGGTTTGAGCTCAAAGGACTTCCGACGCCATCTCAGCGTCCCGCCCAATCGTCCATGGCAGGAGACCAGGCAGCCTTGGTGCAGGTTGCCCGCTACAACATGGAACGCAGGAGCCCTGCTGTAACAACCCTATGCCTGCTGCATGGGGGCCTTGATGTTGTCGTGTACTGGGGCTCGCATCTGTACAAGCTGAAAGCTGACGGAACAATGGTGGCGCGGGTTCTCTGCGCCATGGTTGGAAGCGCAAGGACCTTGGCTGCCAGCGGATCCCTTGTGGTGGTGGGTGGATTTGGGGATTCTACGAAGGTGTATGACGTAACCACGATGACGTCGCTGCGCTCCGTGGGACCAGCGCCCACCGGCATTGTTACTCTCTCTCCAGATGACACGTTGCTGGCTGTTGGAGGAAGCGACACCCTGGTCTCTGTGTTTGATTGGGAGGAGATCAAACTCAGCAACAACGCAGGCGCGAAGCAGACAAGGTCGACTGCATCACTGGCCACACCCACGATTGCGCTCATGGCAGCCCCACCACATCGTCAGCAGCAACAACGACAGCCGCAAAACGTCGTAGTTTTCATCGGATCGGGTGGATCAGGTGCCAAGCATGCGCTTGCTTTGTACGAAGCAGCAAACATGACAGCGGTCAAGGCCATTGACATACACAACAGCGGTGACTTTTGGAGCTTCAACCAGATGAGCGGAAGTCCTGATGGACGCATCGTCCTTTGTTACTCCGGCACAGACAAAGCCATTACGGCTGTCAACACGGTCACTAGCGACGTGCACAAGAATGTCATTACGAGTCGGAAGACACACCGAGACTGGCAAGTGTTCTTCGCACCAACAAGCGACTCGTGCGTGCTGATTGATGGGTGTGATGTGTTCCTCCTGGCGCTGCCGGCGTGCAAGCAAGTGGTCGTGCGTGACCCTGAGTACGTGCACACCGAACTCGGGGTCACTGACGAAGTCACTTGTTGCGTTTGGCACCCTCAGTACCCGCATGTGCGTCAATTCGCCACCGGGTCGAAGAACCACACAGCACGGCTGTGGCAACTCAACACAGACGATGAAGGCAACATTGTCGAGGTGGCAGACGTGCGGGTGTTTGCAGGCCATAAAGGGCCTGTGTACAGTTTGGCGATGTGCACGGATGACCAAGGTGGTGTTTTACTGGCAACGTTTGCAGCAAAAAATGGCATTCAGCTGTGGAACCTGAATGACGGAGCGTCCCCCATTCGATCCTTGTCCGACCCTTTCTCCAGCGACTATTCGCTGTTGTGGCTTCCAAGGCAAAGGTTGCTGGCCACGTACACCCGTGGAGGGCGTAATCTGGAGTGCAGGAACCTGTCAGGAGAAGTGGTTCGCGCCATCAAGCTTGGACCACACTGGATGATACTGCACCCCAGTGAGAAATACCTTGTTGTGCCGTCCTATGGTGGCTTTCAGCTGCTGGATGCAAACACGTTGGAGGTCGCCTTTCAGTCCTTTGGCCACGACGGCGAGGTGTCCTACGGGAACCTGCGAGCAGTGCGCATGGCACCCGATGGACTCCACTTTGTTTCCCAGTCAGCGGACAACATCATCCTCGTGCACGACTTATCACTGCTGCCGCTTTGAAGGCGTGAAGTTGATTTGCGTTGGTGTGTGCGCGTGCGTGTGTGTCTATTTGTTGCCTGTTTTCTTCTTTCAAACTGTTACTCTCCCATTTCGGCCGGTTGGTCTGCTGAGAACATGCCGTTGGCTGCCTCCATTTACCCTTGCCATTGCTCTGTCGGAACACCAGCCATTCCACTGCACCAACAGAACAGGGACGTCAGTTGTGTGTGTGTGTGTGTGTGTGTGTGTGTGTGTGTGTGTGTGTGTGTGTGTGTGTGTGTGTGTGTGTGTGTGTGTGTGTGTGTGTGTGCAATGGCTGTCCCTTTGATTGAACCCGTGCATCCATGAGTGATTGTTGTGATGGAAATGGCGTGACTGGCGAAAGGCGATGCAGTTGGTTGTACATACACATTGGAGATGAACAGGGGCAAAGCAAACAACACAAAAAAGGGTGCTGGAATGATAATGCTGGGTGACGCAACAAGAAAGCGGAGAGCTGAGCACAAGACATGAGCGCACACGCATACACGCACAGAAACAGATGCAGATGCAACTGAAAGGGTGCAGGACGTGTTGTGCCAACAGTCACGTGCAGCAGAAGAAGGGGAAAGGCGCAGAAGGGTAATCGAATGATCCGTGCGCAGGGTGAGGGTGTCTTCAACAAGCTTTGAAATGTAGTTGCGATACGGCAAACAACATCGATATTGACCAGTTCAGCATCCTGGATCGATGACGAGCACAAACTCCGCGTTGGCGGGAGGAATGCAGTGGACAAGGCCATCATTCACAACAAGCAAGCACGCCTCCTGATGCTGGTCGTTGATGTTGCCGTTAGGGGTGCAAGCACGCCGCCAGACCACTGCACTGTAATCGCTGCGTGTGGAGCTGTGCCGATGGCAAGCATCGTCGTCGAATGATCTGCTGGGACATTGTTGATGAGGTCGTTGCCTGCTTGTGAGGTCGCCTCCCGCACCACGCTTCGTGGGATGCAGCAGTAGTGGATGATGCCATTTCTGGCTGGCGTGCCTCACCAGACAGCTGTGGTGGTGGTTCTTGAATCAATCGAGGATAGTGGATAGAGTGTCGTAGTCGCTGATAAGGGGCCCTGTCCTTGTTTGCAACCAGGGATGATTCAGCATGTAAATGAGGCCGTTGCTCGCTGGAACTGTGGTCGTTGCGTCGAACAGGGAGTGGATGGAAGGGATCGACGAAGGGCACAGATGCACGTCTCTGCGCACAGATCAAGTGGTTGTTGCTGTTTTTGTTGTCGGCCATTGCACCACCCATGCCACGTTGCCATATCCCGTGTGGTTTGCTGAGGTCACGCACGTCACTTGCTGCTTCAGCGTGTCACACGATGGTGCGTTGTCTATGAGGCGTCCTCGCCATTGGCTGATGGGTGCTCCTGCACCATATGTGCTCCATTCTCTGCTGCACTGGTGCAAGCACACGCTGTTGCTCATGTCCATCACGCCTGTTGACTGACTTGAGCCCATCAGTGGGATGGATGGTGTTGATGTGTTGATGTGTTGATGTGGAAGGGAAGGTGTCAACCTTGTGTCAACCAGAGCTGTGATCCTGCCCATCAACCACCTCGCTCGTTTTCTCTTGCACAACACATGGTCCTGCCACCACTGTGGTGCACCTGTCTGTGTCTGTGGCAAGAGCCATCAGTGCAGCAAACGAGCAAGAAGGCGAAGAAGCACACAGATGGCGTCCACATGCGTCGCAAGCAAGCGACAGAGCGAGCATGCACTGGCTGGCTTGTTGCGGCAGTGGAGAGTGTGTGCGACAACACAATAACTGTTGTGTGTATTGTGTATTGTTTTCGTTTTCTTTGTGCTGCAGGGCGGGAAAGTGCTTCCAAATCGGGGGGCAGGTGTTGCCAGAAACGCAAGGATTTTCCTTCTCTGTCAACATGGCAAGCAAAGAAGGAAACAAACAGTGTGGTGCGTTTTGTCAATGTGAGCGCCACTCTTTTCGCCAACAAGAAGCAAAGGACAGAAAGCAAAAGGAAAGAAAACGAGCAAGCACACTGCGTGGATGGTTTGTGGATGCGAGAGTGGATGCGATCACAAAGAAGGCCTTCCTCGCGTGCACGCAAGCCAGCCAGCAAGCACTTCGTCGTGGTTGTGGTGCAACAAGAAGGACACCTGCTGCGCGTGTGTTATTGATCTGTTGCACAAGCAGTGGCAGCCACTCCACGATGCAGTGGGCAATGGAACCGTGCTCTTTGTGTCGCACACACACATGACGGTTCAAGAAGATGACACGTGCTGGACGTGTTCAGCGTGCTGTTGCTTTGAGAGTTTGCACATGAAGAAGGAGCAGGCAGCGCAAGGTAACAGCAATGTGTGCGTAGAAAGACAGTGTGTTGCAAAACACTCTACTCACTCCACTGACTGCTCCCACCAACCACTGCCTTGCAATCCGATCTGACCACCTTTCACACCACCCTGCTGCTACCATATCAGGAAGCATCTGCCACAAGAACCAACCCCCTCCCCGACTCTCATGCAAGCGCCTGCTCAACGCTCGACCTCCAAAGCGCTCACAATGTAAGCCGGCTGCAGTCACGTCCCCGTTCATCACTTCAATTCGTCCTCGATCACTCGCATGCGCACGCTCATGCACGCACACAAACGCACACATGTGACATTGCCACCACCACCACCTGCAGTCACACAGCGTGGGCGGCCGCAGGAGAGCAGACTGGGGATGAGCGTGGTTGAAGTGCCAAAGGAGGAGGGCAAAACAGCTCGTGCACGAAGCAGAGGACATGGCAGAGGGTACATCCATCCTCAGCAATCACACCAGCGCCACCACAATGAACGCGGCACCACTGCTGCAACCACTGCTTGGGGCGGCATCAGGCCCATTCCCACCAGCATTGCCTGCGCCTGTACATGGGCCAGCAGCGCCACCGTCTCTAACGCATGCCATGGTGCCGACATTGTCAACAACACCAGTCATCACAAGCACATTGCCGCCGCTGCAGCGGGATTGCAGTGCAGCCGCCAAAATGTCGACCTCATCCGCAGCAACGGCAACGACAGCAACAACAGCTGTGATGGCAGCAGAAGCAGCGGCAGCAGTAGGGCTTGTCCACCTTCCTTTCCTAACACGGTGCCACCGTTACCTCATGTCTGCGGCGACGGCTACAGCGACAGCGCCACGGCCGTTCAGGGGCACCCTTCTGTCGCGGACTCCCTTGATGGCATCACCATCATCCTCATCGTCGTCTTCTTCACCCCATCACAGTCATCAACAACAGCGGCAGAAGCAGCAACACCAGCAGCACCACCGGCGAGCACTGCTACACCACCAGTATCGCTCTCGGCATATGCAGCGCTTGCAGACGGGCAGCTGGGGACGGATGAGATTCGCTCGGCTGTCGGTAAGCAATACACACACCAGTGTGTTGTGGTTGTGGAGTCCAGCGCATGCTCGATGACACGCGTCGTGTGAGCTCACTCCTTTGTGTGTGTGTGTGTGTGTGTGTGTGTGTGTGTGTGTGTGTGTGTGTGTGTGTGTGTGTGTGTGTGTGTGTGTGTGTGTGTGCATGATTGAACGGGCTTTTGAATCCAAGCGCGCTTCGGGGGCAGCGACGACGATGCTCGCAAACATGGCCGGTTCAAAGTAGCAGACAGGCTGTGTGTGTCTGTGTCTGTGTCTGTCTGTGCGTGCGTATCTGTGTGTGTGTGTGTGGTGTGTGTGTGTCTGGCTGTCTGTGTGTGTGAATCGCCGCGCATGTGTACGCATGCACTTCGTCTCCTTCACTTCCCTCATTCCCTCACGTCCTCTCCCGCGACGCACGCGCCTGCACTTGCAAACAGCTATGGCGCATTCCTTTCCTGCGCCATACGACGGCACGGTGTACGTGGCAGACTCATCAACGCAGTCTTCCACCGAGGAACAGACAGCGGTGCCTGGGCCACCAGCCGCGCAAGCTGTACAACACCGAGGCAGACGCACGCCGTGCACCTCAGGGGATGTGCCACAGCAGCAAGACGGCGTGTCGTGTGGCCTGTTTGCGCTGGCTTACGCCACACTGCCGGCTGCTGGCCTGCATCCGCTCGACTTGAACTGCGTCAGCATGACGGCACACCAGCTGCGCACGTGGTACTTTCAGTGCGTGGCTGATCGGGAGGCAGACGTTGTGGAGCTGCTGCTCATGAAGCTGCTGCAAGGGGCACAAGTCAGCCCTCCTTGGCTGGTACTATCTGTGTGAATGTGTGGATGGGCACCTGTCACGTGCACATCACTGTTCCCTTGTGGCTTACTCTCCCCATCCTGCTTGTGCTCCAAGACATGGACTGACTCATGAGACTGCGTAATTCCTTGTGCGGGACCAGTACACTACAACCTCACATCTTGCATATGCTGCCAACCGAACGAATACATCATCAAAGAAGCAGCTGCCGCTGTTGTAACACTCCGAATCATGATGTGAACAAACGAGAGCGAGCAAGTGCTCGACACGCACGCACGCACGCACGCGCACACACACAGACACAGACACACAGACACAGACACACACACACACACACACACACACACACACACACACACACACACACACACAACACTGCTCCCTTCGCAAGCTGCTCAGGCCTTCGTGCAGCCTGGGTCGATGACAAGCAGCGAAAATGTCAAACAAGGTGGGGCATAAATCAGGCCATTGGTCGCCTGAACGCCATCCCACCACTTACAGTCTGATGACCCCAAACCGCTCGTTGGTAAGGTGTTGAAGGAGTTGTCGTTGGTGTTGATGACGAGAATGTTGGCTGCTTTGTATGGAATACACACAATGCGGCCATCTTCCAGGAGCACGCCTCCTCTCCATTTGTCTCCTCCAGATGACAACCCAGACACCAGGGTGCGCTCATTGGTGCGGGGGTCGATCACCATCACACTTCCTGCCTCGTAAGGAACGCCGTAAATCAGGCCGTTGGGCGCAAGCACGGTGCCGGCCCACTTATCGCCGATCCCAAACCCAGTGATGCTCTTCGTGTTTGCAGATTTCCCAACAGGATCGATGATCAAGACGCTCTGTGCGGCGTATGGGATGCTGTAGATGTGCCCATTTGTCGCCTGGGCTCCGCCATACCACTTGCAACAACCGGTTCCGAACCCGGTGATGCTCGTAGTATCAGTCGCGTTTGCCTGTGTATCAATGAACAGCACTGAGGAAGACGACCACGGTATTGCCACGATGACGGTGCCATTGTCCACGGCCAAGCCAGTCACCCACTTGTTGCCCAGTGAGGGTAGATCGGACATGGACGTTGTGTCAGTGGCATTTGTGCTTGGGTCGAGAACAAACACAGAAGAGCCATCACGAGGGAAGCCGTAGATCTTGCCTTGTGCATCCGACGCCCATCCACACCACTTGCGACGATTATCATCCGGGTCAAGGGTCAGAGACGTTGTGTCAAGGGTGTGAGTGACTGGGTCTAGCACCAGTACACTCGTGCCTTTGCTCGGTATACCGTACACGAGGCCCGTATGTGCCACAGCAAGTGTGAGCCACTGACTGCCGAAACTTGCAACATTCGCCAATGTGGTTCTATCTGCGTATGGCCGCCTCAAGAAGCAGGTCATGGCTTGCAGTGCCTCGATGGTGCTCTGCTGTGCCTCGATGGTGCTCTGCTGTGCGACGTTTGTGCTGTGCTCCTCATTGATCAGGCTGAGCTGTGCCTCGATGGTGCTCTGCTGTGCCTGGATGGTGCTCTGCTGTGCCTGGATGGTGCTCTGCTGTGCGACGTTTGTGCTGTGCTCCTCATTGATGGTAGTCTGCTGTGCCTCGATGGCGCTCTGCTGTGCGACGTTTGTACTGTGCTCCTCATTGATGGTAGTCTGCTGTGCCTCGATGGCGCTCTGCTGTGCGACGTTTGTACTGTGCTCCTCATTGATGGTAGTCTGCTGTGCCTCGATGGCGCTCTGCTGTGCGACGTTTGTACTGTGCTCCTCATTGATGGTGCTCTGCTGTGCCTCGATGGTGCTCTGCTGTGCGACGTTTGTGCTGTGCTCCTCATTGATCAGGCTGAGCTGTGCCTCGATGGTGCTCTGCTGTGCGACGTTTGTGCTGTATTGTGTCTCAATCAGCGCTTGTTGTCTCAACAGCATGCCAGTCACATCCACTCCATTCACGTGCACCGGTTGCTGCAACGGGTCTGTCGTGTTGATATGAAACGCGCCCGTCGAGTCTTCCTCCATAACCACCTCCGCCACGCAGGCAGCGCTTGAAAGCCACAGATACAACACCAGGACAAGAAGTGTCCTTCTGAGTCCAATGCTCATTGCTCCAGCGAAATCACGAGAACAACGGTGTCCCACTGTCACTTGCATGGCCGCTTGCCGTGTGGAGGTAGGGATGGGAACGTTTAGGTGGGAAGCACAGTTGCACGCCTTCATCTCCGCAGCTTTTGTTGCTGGCTTGTAGAGTTGCGTTGTGGAAGCCTCATAGGATGCCACACGACAAACGCAACACGCGAGGCCGTTTTGCGTGTTGGAAAAATCTTCTCCACTTCCAGTCGTCCAATGTGCATCGTAAGTCTGCAGTCGCCATCACGAAGCACCACCACGACCACCACCTTCCTACCTTCAATCTGTGTCAACAGAACAACACAAGTACATCAAAACGACACACGTAAGCTGTGCACAGCATCTGATATACTGTCTGGTTTCTCAATGTTATGTTGTTCATCGTGACGGTGCCAACACTGCCTTTTGAGTCTTGGAGTCTGTGATGTACGAGTTCATAGTTCATCAACACAAATAAAGCAGACAAGACGACACAGAACAAGCGGAGGAAGAGGAGGAGTATTGGGGGAATGCGTGCTGCGGAGTCCCACAAGCAACCCAAGAATGAAGACGCAATCAACAAAGGGGGGGGGGAGTGAGATCATGCAAGCAAGAATACACGCCAAGGGATACAAATGTTAACATCCTGGGTCGATGACGAGGACGCTGTCCGCATGGTACGGAATGCCGTAGATGAGACCATTGGTGGCCATGACACCATCGTACCACTTACCAGTTGCATCAGACAAGCCGCCAATTCTAGTGGCGGGATTGATAATGAGCACGGATGTGGATGAGTGTGGGATGCCAACGATCTTGCCATTTGCTGCAAGAAAGCCGCCAATCCACTTATCGACACCGCCCAGGCCCGTGATAGTTGTGGTATCAGCAGTATTGCTGGCCGGGTTGATGATGAGGACGGAGGTGGCATGACGGGGAATGCCGTAAATGAGGCCGTTGGGAGCGAGAACACCACCGTACCACTTGTGATAGCCATTACCGACATCAGTTATGGAAGTAGTATCAGCTGTGTTTGTGGCAGGGTCAATGATGAGGACCGAGGGCGAATGACTTGGCATGCAATAGATGAGGCCATTGCTTGCCTGCACGCCCCCGTACCACTTGTCCGCGCCTCCCGCAAAACCACCAATAGACGAGGTGTCGGCCGTATTTGTGTCGGGATCGATGATGAGTACGGAAGGGGAGGAGCCTGGGATGCCGTAGATAAGGCCATTGCTGGCAAGGACACCACTAAACCACTTCCCGCTGTTGCTGCCTAGACCGGCGATTGTAGTCGTATCTGCTGTCTTGGAGTCTGGTCTGATGATGAGAACAGCATCAGCTGTGCTGGGGAAGCCGTAAATGAGACCATTCGGTGCCAACACGCCGCCTCCCCATTTGGTACCGGTCCCAAGCCCGTTGATGGTAGTTGTGTCAACGCTGTTGGTGGTCGGGTTGATAATGAGAACAGACGGAGAGTTATAGGGAATGCCAAAGATGAGGCCGTTAGAAGCCTGCACGCCGCCAATCCACTTCCACTTTGAGACAGCAGTGGGATACCCGCTGATACTGGTGCTGTCGGCTTGCGGCGTGCGCAAGAGACATGTGGTAGCTCGCAGCTCTTCAATCACCATTTGCTGCCTCTGCACAAGCTGAAACATCTGCCCGACATCCACGCCATTCACAAAGACGGGTGCGGCCCTGGGGTCGCTGGTGTTGATGTGCAGCGCGCCATACTCGTCCTCTTCCATCACCACCTCCCCACACACGCGTGCAACGACTACCAGCACCAGCAACAGCATGGCAAATCCGAATTGCGCAGTGTGCTTGCACATCGCACCAACCCTAGCTTGCTGAGGGCGCGGTCGAACCATCGTCGCGTGGTTTTGTTAGTTTTGGGCACCACCCACTTGCCTCAAATGTTTTCGGTTGATTGTTTGTCATTTGCAGCAACAACAACAGCAGTAACTGGAACGACGTCCACCCGGCTACGATGCTGATGCCGAGGACGAGCAGAGCAGGAAGTGGCGCATGTCGAAGCAGATGGGCCAGGATCATGCCCTGGCTGGAACGGGTGCAGGTAGAACCGCAGTGGAAAGGAACGTGTGTGTGTGCTGGGAAGGGTGCGTGCTGGGAAGGGTGCGCGGTGGGAACAGCACGTACCACGCACCACAAACACTGACGCCGCATCCGTCACGTCCAACCAGCCGCGACTGCCGTACCTTCTGAACCATGTCCACAACCAGCCAGCTCATCCAGCACCAGCATGATCACCACCGACTTGTTGTCACCAACTCCCAGCAGCAGCTGGGCCACGTCCTTGCCACTGCTGTGACGAAGGCGACGGTGATCAAGTACCACGCCGCCTCCCACAGGAACTGGCGCTGACGCGAACAATGAAGCTGCCAAACAGTTCCGCATCGCCCGTCGACTGGACACATTCACAAAGCCAGCAGCACGCACAAGTGGCACCACGCACGCCCCAGCGTCCTCAACTTTGGCCAGTTCACCAGACAACTTCAGCAGCTTGTGCCGACACGCGCGGCTGCGCATCTCGCTGATGAATGTCCTGTCTGACTCAATGAGGCAATCATGCCCGCTGCTGGTGGTTGTACTGCTTGTCGGCGGTGGAGGTCGCAAGCGCAAGCTCGCATGGAAACGTGCACACCAGCAAAATGATGTCTGCTACGAGGGTGTGCGTCAGGGACGACACGGCTTGACCAGGGCTTCCCTGCCAGGGCTTGTTCCCCGAGGTTGATGGCCTCACACACCTTGTCCACGACGCACTGCTCTGTGCTGCAGTCGAGCCAGGACACGCTGGTGGAGGTGCTGAAGATGGCACGGAGTGCGGGCGTGGCTGGCCTTGCTGGCCGTAAACGACAACAGAGACGGAGGCGTGTCTGTCCGTGCATCCTCGACGGCGGCGCTCACGATGGCAGCGAACATGCGCACGGCTCGCTGCAGCTTAGCAACGCTGCCCACGTCAATTCGACGGGAGGTGATTGGCAGCTCAGGGCACAGCCTCGACGTGGTGGGTGACAAGCGCAACGGCGCCAAGCATCGTGCCTTGGGTCAAACTAGATGGCCAACAGGGCGGATCTCGACGGCCGTGGTGTTGGCCTTGTTGAAGCTGGGCACACCGTACGCAGCCGGCACCGCGAAGCTCGGCCATACAGGAGCACGTGCTTTGCGTCGCGTGTTGATGCGGCTGATTCAAAGCTGGCACTGGCCGGCGTGGTGCTGTGTAATGGCTGCCAGCCTCGCGTGCTCCACTGCACAATGACAACACTTGTCATGTTCCACTGCTCCAGGGTGTACGCGATCAGGACACGCTCACCATCGCAGGGCTGGTGCACACCCCCGCTGTTGCCGCTAATCGATCGTGCTGGCCACCAAACGGAGGGCGGCAGAGCGGCCACACGACAAGGGCTTGTCCGAGTCCCAAACACTGTGCGCCAGCGTACCCGGCAGCGACCAGGAGCACTCTGCTGCAAGGGGGCTGTGGATCAGGGGACACACGCAGCGAAGAAGAGGAGGAGGTCGGGCTGAGGAGGAGGTCAGGCTGTACACCGCCAAAATGCCGGCCTTCCGGCACAAGCAGGTGCTGCTCTCCGCTCGCAGACACGCTGATGGTGCCGATGAAGCCATGGCCCTCGCCAAAATGATGCCACAGGACCACAGAAGAAGCTGACGAAGTGGCGGCTGTTGCGATGGATTGGATCTCCGAGACGTGGACGCTGGTGATTTGGCGGATCGTGTGCACTCCGTCGTCGGGGTCGCTGGAGGGGTGGCCACTCGCCACGACCAGTGGATGGCTGCAGCCGCAAAGCCGCGAACGTCAGCGGAGTTGCTCAAAGAGACAACAGCAGCGCACGCGTTGCTGTGTCCACCACCTGCACCACACGGCCCAGATGAACGTTGTAGTGGAGGAGGCGCACGGTCGCATGCAACAGGTGCATGGCCAGCAAACACATCCAGCAAGCAGGTTGTCCTTGATCATCAGAACGATGTCCGCTGACTCAATGTTGATGCCGTCGCCAACTATTGCCACCACCTCGCCCTTTCGCCTGCAGCTCCTGCACGCTGCTGCGAGCACGGTGTCGATGCCAACCTCTGCCCCCCCCCCCAATGGACCGCGCAGTGCCCTCGTTGTCGCCCGTGTGAGCATGACCATGGTCAGGCCATGCTGGCGCAGCAGGCGCGCCACCCTCTTCGCCGTTGGGGCTTGCACATGTCAGCGAGACCCCGCGTAGCCCAGGCAGAAGCTTGTCGTCTGCCGAGCATGCAACAGCCGTGTAGCCACGCGTCTCCTCATCTTCGTACATCGGCTGCCGCTACTTGCCGCTGATGGCGTGGGATTGCCAACATCACAATGGGCATGCCAATGACGATGGGCATGCCAATTACAATGGGCATGCCATCCACGGTTGCTGAGATGCCCCGACCAGAGACCGTCTTGAAGTCCGTTGCAAGAGACAGCGTCTTCGTGCGCCACAGTTGTCTGGCCCAGGGCATGTTCGCAGTTTGCCTCTACAGCCGCCACCAGCTTCAACAGAGCGATCTCCTCCGTCCACGTGTCATCAACGCCGAGCACGTGCACACATGACTTTTGGCGATCCAACCGTCAGCGTTCTCGTCTTGTCAAGCACGGCCTGTGGGGAGGGTGTATGGAGGTGGGGATTGAGAGAGAGAGAGAGAGTGTGTGTGTGTGTGTGTAAGGGTGTGTGGGCATGGAGGTGTGAGTGAGTGGGTGTGTTAGTGTTTTCTAACCACGACTCGCGAGCACCAGTACGAAGCACCACACACAAACACAGACACAGACACACAGACACACACACACACACACACCGAACGTGAGATCCAATGTGTCAGCGGCACCCGAGGTCAGCGGCGCAACCTGCACACCGACAGCAACACGATGCCTGACACAAAGCGCCCCACCAGCTTGCCAGGCAAAGAAAAGGAGATGAAGGAAAGGAGAGAGGGTGAGCGGGTATGTGTGAGAGTGGAAACGTCTGCAGAAACATTGACAGGTACGTGTGAAAGGGAGGATATGGCGTGTTGTTTCCACCACACCTCTGCTGCGTGGGCGCCTTTGACAGCTGTGCATTCTCGTTGTCAACATGTGTGGCCTCCAAGATCATGCACCATGGTGCCGCCCATACGACAATTACGCCTTTGGAGACGAGACGAGTGTTGATGTGCCCGTGATCACGGCCTCGTCCATTTCACCTGCACCATCCAGCACGCGTGCATCCATCCATTTCACAGGCACTTTGCCACCGGCCACCACCTACATCCAAGAACGTGAGGAAGGGTGAGCGAGATGTGACGACAGTGCATATCAGGCGGCTGCTACAACCACAGCTGAGGTTGCAACAACTGCCACACATTGCTGCTGCTGCTGCTACAATCAACCACCCGCCATCACCCACCACCACATGTAAGCACCACCACCAACTCCAACACCCACCCCCTCATCACGCACCTTCAGGTTGTCGCCGCGCTGCACGAGCTCGGTGTCAATTCGCTCCTCCATGCGATTGCCTTTGACTATACCTTCCTTCAGCAGGCTGGAGATGTTGCCTTTGGCGAGGTGTTCGATGTACGCCCGAGCGATACAAAGGTGAAGAGGGGGAATGCCGGTCTCCAAAGAAGAGGTCGCCACCACAAGTCAAGAGGCGGCGGCAACAATGAGTATCACCATGCAGCCCTGTGGTGGATTTGTAATAACGCCAGAGCAAGTGCGTGTGGATCAGCAGCACGTGTGCACGCGACACGCTAGCAAAGAAGGCACGTGTAACGCTCTCTTGTTCACTGCAGTGGTGGACGTGAAGAGAACGCGCGGAAGTGGTCGCAACAAACCACACACATACAAGCACACTCACACACGCACACAAAAAACACACACACACACACACACACACACACACACACACACACACACACACACACACACACACACACACACACACACACACACACACACACACACACACACACACACACACACACACACCACATTCATGTTGGCAGCACCGTGCATGGTGGACCGCACCGCGGAGAGGAGAAACGGCTGACCGGGAAATGAAGGCGACCACGCCCAGCAGCATGAGGATGAGGTGAAGCGTCGCGACATGCCGTCGATCATGCGCGCATCCCAGGAGTCCGGCCGCACGCAGCCACGATGATGGACGCGACGAAGAAACACGGTGGCACACACGATGAAGGTGATGGGGCAGAAGCGGATCTCGCTCCTGTGGGTGGTGGTGCTTCGTGCTCCAGCTCCCTCGCGTACCCGGCATCCTTCAGCGCGCTGCAGTCACAAATGGGTGTTGTGTGAAGTGCATGACATAGGGCATTCTTTTGTAAGTGGTGATGGGTAGCAAGAAGGTGTTGCAGCAAGGACAGACACAGAGTCAGTTGGAGGGATTCGGTTGGAGGGGGAAGCAGAGAAGAAGCAAGACGAAGCGACACGTACAAGTGCAAACACACACACACACACACAAACACACACACACGTACGCGATGATGTCGCGTGGCTCCGTTGCGTAGGTCTCGTGTTTGACTTCCACACGGCGCAACGCATCATCAACATGCACCATCTGAACACCGGGCAGGCAGGGCCCTCAGCATTGCCTGTCATGCGTGTCCAACAGGAGCAACAGCGGCAGCAGGAGGGTGATAGGTTGAAGTGGAAAGCAGGCATGCGTGCATACAAGCAACCACTCGTGCATGCAAGCCAAAGAGACAAGCAGAGATGCAGTGCCGCGCACGTGCATACCACGAAGCTGACATACGTCATGCCTTGTGCTGGTGTGTGCGTTTCTTTGTGGGCCTTTGTATCCGCCCACCTCGCCGATGCTGGCGATGATGCCTGCAGGGCTTCACCGGCGCGGTGCCAGCGAGCAGGCCCACACGACACGTTGTTGTGCATGCCGCGCATGCGCCCTCAATGTTGGACACGCACAAGGCGCTCGACATGCCTGTAGTGCAGCGCAGCGGTAGATGCAGTGTGTACGAGCGACAATTGTGTGTGGAAGTGAGGTGCTGAAGTAAGGACACACACACACACACACAGAGCACACACACACACACACACAGACACACAGGCACAGCACACACACAGACACACACACACACACACACACATCACACACACACACACACACACAGTGCATGCACGCACCCCAAAGGCGTGAGCAGCTGTGCTGGGGTGCGGTGATGGCTTTCCGAAGAGTGTCGGCAACAGCATCTTGGCGGTTGTCGAGGACGCCGGTTCTTTCTTGTCAGGTGTGCTCAAAGCTGAAGTGGAGGACGTGGACACCTCATCAACAGCCTGCTGCTCTTCACGCTGCTGTGGCGGTGAGACGATTTCAACGGAGTACCCGCCCCTCGCGTACAATGTCTGCCAGCTCATCGGGAGACACAACTGCAAGCTGTTCGACAGCAACCGCCTTGTCATTGATCATGAGTGTGGTCTTGATCACCGTTGGCCCCCACACTGTTGCTGTCGCATACGATGGCCGCAATGCTCTGAGCACACGAGCCACATGTCATGGTGGGCTGTGGGACTGCCATGGTTGTTGTTGTTGCGGTGGTGGTGGTGGAGCCAAGTGGCCACATGCAGCAGCAGCAGATTCGCGTTGTTCTTCTGCTCCTCCATCCACCGTCTGGCAAGGACAGCTGGCCCACACTGGACATCGCACATGCTTGCAGTTGTCTTGGCGAAGGAGAAGCGCCATCAGAGGTGGCGCTGCGCGCATGCATGCTGGTGCCAACCAGACGGAGGGAGGAAAGGCACACTTATGATGACACCGGCAGCAGTGGCTGGGGAGTGTCTTGGAGAGAGAGGGACAGCTGCATCACGTGCGTGCATCAGGTGCACCTGTGTGTGTCCTTGTCTGCATGGACCTATGGACGCTATGTTCACAGAGGCACGAGGCAGCGTGGAGAAGGTGGTGGAGGGGGGAGGACGAGAGCGTCACGACGTCAGACACGACGCAAGACACGAGAGGAGGTCAGGTGCACCAACACAGGCTGAGCACGTGTCATTGGTTGGAAACACATCACACTATCTGTCACTGTCAATCATTGCCATCATCATCGAAGCTGATTGATTGTGATTAATTTTTGTTTTTTTCGTGTGTTTGGTGTGAGGACTGCGAGGGGGCGTGGCGAGCTTGGGCCCGTTCCAAGCAACGGTGGTTGGCGAAACGAAGAAGAGCTGGTGGAGGAGCGTTTCTGTGTCATTTCCACACCTCTCTACTCTTGCGTTTTGGTTTTCACCAAGCTACCAAGAGCCAAGCAATGTTCCGCTGTTGCCACAAGCCCACAGCGACGGTGCCAGTCGCCGCCCATGACGCCGCCGCCTTTGACATCTTCATCTCGCTTCGCTTCAGCGAGGCACGAAACGCGGGGAAGGCGCTCCAGCGAGCGCTCGAGGCAAGGGGGCTGAAGGTGTTTCTGTGTGAGGTTCCTCCAGGCTCGAACATTGCCAAGGTTGTGATTCGAGCGCTGCATGGGTGCCGCATGGCGGTGATCCTTGGCACGCGTACGTATGGCAAAGAGACGGACAGCAGCTTCAGCACATTTGACGAGCTTCAGTACATTGTTGATCGAAGGAAGCCGTTCTTCCTTGTGAAGATGTGCGACGACTTTGAAGAGCCTGAGGCGCAATTTCACCTGAGGAGCAACGTGGCATATTTCGCTTGGACGCCCAAAAACGAGGATACAAACATCAGCGTGCCTCCGCCGCTGGTTGATGACATTGTTGGCAAGTTGAAGGTGAGAGCCTGCATATGCGATGGTGCGAGTATGGACCAAGCATGCGCTCGTGTTTGCATTCGAAGCAACGTTTTCGTGTGTGTTTGGGCCGCTCATGAGTTGTGCCTGTGTGCTGTTGTCCTGTTGTTGACTCACATACAACACACTGTCTTCCTTCGCTTGCTTCTGGGTAGGAGCAGACCCCCAACACCCTGACCAACGCATCAGGCCAGCAACTGGCTGCCACAACTTCGTTCGACAGCCCACTTTCTGTCTCTGAACCGCCGTTCAGCCCAGGACGCGAGGATGCGAAGATGTTTGCCATGGAAGTTGGTCATGAGCCATTGACTGTCAAGCGCGGTTGTAACTGGAAACGGGCGTTGCGCACGGCGTTGGCGGTTGCCATTGTGGTTGGCGTTGCCGTGGCTGTTCCAATCACGGTGCTGTCTGGAGGTAGCGGGAACGGTCCCGACGGGCCTGGAGGAGGTCCCGACGGGCCTGAAGGAGGCCCCGGAGGGAACATGAGCAACGCGTCCCTTCCAACAACCACCAGCTTGCCGACTACAATCAACGGTACCACAAAGGCGACTTTGGCTGCAGCCGGAACTGGAACGTTTGGTCAGCTTGGGCCAACAGCAGACAAGTGGCTTGGCGGCGTGCTGGCAAGCAACGGGCTGATCTATGCCGCGCCTTGGTACTCGCCTTCCGTGCTCATCATCAACCCCAGCACCAACACCGTCGACACCACCACCATCTCGGGACTTGGAACGGATCCAGCCAAGTGGGCTGGTGGGGTGATGGCACACAACGGCCTCGTTTACATGTTCCCTTCAAACAGGCAGTCGATGCTCATCATCGACCCAGACACCAATGCGGTTGACATCACGAGCATCCACTCACTTGGCTCGACGAGCAACAAGTGGTATAGTGGCGTTGTGGCCAGCAACCAACTCATCTTCGGCATCCCGTTGTATGCCACGTATGTGCTGATAATTGATCCGAAAACCAGCACCGCCGACATCACGACGATGGCAGGACTGTCGAGCGGGACGCACAAATGGTATGGTGGCGTGCAGGCAGACAATGACCTCATCTACTGCATCCCCGTGAAAGCTTCTTCTGTTCTTATCATCAACCCAGGGTCCTTGACGATGGACCTCACGACCATCAGTGACCTCAGTTCCACAGGCAGCAAGTGGTATGGTGGTGTGCTGGCAGAGAATGGCTTCATCTACACCATCCCAGCCTACTCAGCGACGATACTCGTCATCGACCCAGCCACAAACGCGACCAACGAGCTTGTTGTTGCACCCGCACCAGGCTCCTTGAAGTGGAATGGCGGTGTGCTCGCACCCAACGGCAACATCATTGGCATCCCGCACGACTCTCAATCAGTCCTTGTCCTTGATCCAACAACTAACACCACCGACACAACAACCATCAGCAATCTTCATGGCTCTGCCAAGTGGCTAGATGGTGTGCTTGCTCCAAACGGCCTCATCTACGGCATTCCACATGATGCTGAGTCCGTCCTCGTCATCGATCCCGGCTGCTGACGCATGTTTGTGCGTGTGTGTGTTTGTGGTGTTTTTGTGTGTGTGTGTGTGTGTGTGTGTGTGTGTGTGTGTGTGTGTGTGTGTGCTTGCGTTTGATTGCTTCTCGAAAGCATGTGAGTGCTTCTGTTTGGTGCTGGGCCGGCCGCCCTTTGTGTTTGTTCCTCCTGCCTTTGTGCGGTCCTTTTCCGCCGCTGCGCCGCACCTCGTTCATTTCCCACCGTGCAAGCACGTGTTGTGTATGCTCTGTTATGTATGCTTGATTCGTTTATCAAGTGTACAGAAATGCACCCTGCCACCAATCTCAAATGCACTCACGTGCTCCAGCAAGTGCAGGGAGAGCAAGTGACAAGAATGAGTCACCATTCATGTTAACAGACCACAAGCATAAAGGGCACAACAAGCAAGCAACGTGTGAAGCAAACATAACCTTTATGTGAACGACGCACACACACACACACACACACACTCACACACACACACACACACACACACACTCCCACACTCACACACACACCACACAGAGCACGTTGTTTTCTCACAGTCTGTTTTTCCACAATGCATCCCAACGCGACCATTCGCCAGTCCTTGAAGCTCCTGGTTGAGCGAGCGCGTTCCAAGCTGCATGGGAAGATGCGTGACATTCACGGGTGGTGGCGAACGCGAAAAGGTGCCTGCCACACAAAAGGACAGCACACCACATGATGAAGAGACGGCAGCCTGACATGCCTTGCCGCCCCTGCCGCTTGCCTCGCCGCTTGCAGGTGCTGCTGCTTGCGTTGCTGGTTGTTGCAGCAGCTGCAGGGAGCGGTGCACACGCCAGCATCCACAGGAGGCGACGAGGGCCATCGTGGCCATCACCGCCAGCAGCGTTCAAGGATGTGACCAGCGCGATCCGGCGAGGCTGGAGCACGAGGCCACCCAACGTGCCCTCGCAGTACTTTGTAGAGAAGAAGACAACCAACGATGGCGGCGTCCTGTTTGTGTACACGCACAGCAAGGGTGTGGGGAGCGCTGCAAGCGTTAGTAGCGGTGCAAGTGGCAGCGGTAACGAGGGTGGCCACGGCGACGATTCGGCGCTACCACCCTGCGATGTCTCTGCCGTCATTAGCTATCGCGAGCGCATCGATCCAATCCACCAGGTGACGTGTGTGTGTTTTGTATGTATGTATGTATGTATGTATGTATGTATGTATGTATGTATGTATGTATGTATGTATGTATGTATGTATGTATGTATGTATGTATGTATGTATGTATGTATGTGTGTGTGTGTGTGTGTGTGTGTGTGTGTGTATGTATGTATGTATGTATGTATGTATGTATGTATGTATGTATGTATGTATGTATGTATGTATGTATGTATGTATGTATGTATGTATGTATGTATGTATGTATGTATGTGCGCGCTTTTACCCTCCGCGGTGGGCGTGTCGTCTTGTGATGTACCATTGACCGTCCACCGGTCCTGTTGCCAACGCAGATTGTACAAACACGGCTGCGCCAGAAGGGCGTGTGCCATTTCCACCTCGTCGTTGTCCTGTGGGACGTGGCATGGACCAAGCATCAGGTAACTTTTCGAGATGAAACCATGGATGCAATTGTGCATGTGAGTGTATGTGTGTGTGTGTGTGTGTGCGTGTCTGTGTGTCTGTGTGTGTGTGTGTGTGTGTGTGTGTGTGTGTGTGTGTGTCTGTGTGTCTGTGTGTGTGTGTGTGTGTGTGTGTGCGCGCGGTTGACCTTGTTTGCAGCAACCATCAAACACACGACACTTACAACCGCCCCCTACCTGATCACCCAACACCCGCTTCATGTGCTCGGCAGGTCGAGGAGTATGTTCGTGTCCTGAAGACGCGACCGCGAACGACGCTACTGATCCATCGTGGATCGTTGACGTGCTACATGTGCCTGCGCAACATGGCACTGCCGTACATCGCCTCCTCCAAATACACCCTCTGGGCAGACCACGGCACCCTATGGAAGGACAAGTACGTTGCGTTGTGTGTTTGTACAAGTGTGTGTGCGTTTGCATTGTGTGCCTGTGTTTGCATGTTTCACACCCGCTTCTTGTTCTTTAACTCCCCGCCCCACACGTGAACAACTCCCGCCTTCCCCCCCCCCCCACACACACATTAGCATG